TGGAATGTAACAACCAATCTTAACATATTGTTACCTGACTCTCTAACCAATTATATCCCACCACCTTTATTGGTTTACACCCAGCAACATTATTTCCACAGCAGAAACAATCAAAGCACTGGACAGAGACCAGATAAACAGTAGAGGGATGGAGACCAGAATGGAAAAACAATAAAGAAATGAAGGTTTCACAACCCCAACTATTGATAAGCGAGTCCTTGCCAGACACAAAGGCATCCATCCGAGTTTCCTTTTAATCTTTGAGGCTCTTCCCTGTACCGGGAGGGATAGACTGGATGGATTAACTACCCCAAACTGCCTGATTTCAATGGGACTGGTTTGGAATGTGCCCTATTTGAATATGCTTACCCAAAACCCTTAGCTTAATAACACTGTTGCACCAGTGAGCTATAAAGCACTTTGAAAGGCAGTAGGCAGGTGTGATACATTCTGGGTGTGCATTTCACTTTGGGCTCCCCTACCTACGGGATTATGCAGCACAGATGTAGATACATTGATTCATGTTCCCCGAAGTTTCCTTTTAATCTTCGAGGCTCTTCCCTGTACCGGGAGGATGGCTTAACTACCCCAAAGTGCCTGATTTCAATGGGACTGGTTTGGAATGTGCCCTATTTGAATATGCTTACCCAAAACCCTTAGCTTAAGAACACTATTGCACCAGTGAGCTATAAAGCACTTTGAAAGGCAGTAGGCAGGTGTGATACATTCTGGGTGTGCATTTCACTTTGGGCTCCCCTACCTACGGGATTATGCAGCACAGATGTAGATACATTGATTCATGTTCCCCAAAGGTCTCATTCTCCACTTCCTTCCCCCGGGTAACCATATACCCCTGGGAAAAGTGGGGGCACAAGCTACTGTGCTCTCTGGCAGATGTTTGACATTGTCCGCATTATGACTTAACACAGTGGGAAAGGGCTACATGAGAAGGTGCAGAACTCGGCTCATATATGCAGAACTGGCAACTCTCACATTGTTTGATATTTTTCTCAAAGCACCAGCTTTGGGGAGCACGTGAACCTTAGTTCAGCTTTCATGAATAAAAGTAGTTTCTAAACTTGCTGGTTGCAGACCAAAGCTGGCCCGCAAAAGCCTCAAGACCCAAAAGCCAAATAAAGAGAACCCAATGGGTGCATCTAGACTGGCAAGATTTTGCGCAAAAGCGGCCGCTTTTGTGCAAATCTTGCCAGCTGTCTAAACTGGCCGCGAGAATTTGTGCAAGAACACTGATGATCTAATGTAAGATTGTCAGTGTTCTTGCGCAAGAACTCTGATGCTCCCGCTCGGGGGAAAGCCCTCTTGCGCAAGTGTAGACAGGGACAGGAATTTTTTGCGTAAGAAAGCCCCGATGGCAAAAATGACCACCAGAGCGTTCTTGCGCAAAACGGCGTCTATACTGGGCACAGATGCTTTTGCGCAAAAGCAAATCTTTTGTGCAAAGGCACTTGCCAATCTAGACACTCTTTTGCAGAAATACTTTTAATGGAAAAACTTTTCCATTAAAAGTATTTCCGCAAAATCATGCCAGTCTAGACGCAGCCAATGGTTTTAAAAATTAGTGTAAGTAATCCCAGACATTTTAAGCTGATTTCATGATGCTAGGAGACCGATCCGTGATTCTGAAGCTCTTTGCTTGGGCAGTTACATACATTGGAGCATATTAAGTAAGTTTTCTCAAGCACTGACACAGAATGAACTTAATTTTAATGCGCATCTCGGAGTGGGAGAGGAGGGGCTTAGCCCGATTTGTGTGTCTCAACAGTACCACTCTACAGACTCCAAGGGAGCTAATCTTGATTGGCATCAATGGAAAAGGCCCTTTTAAAAATAACTTTAAAACCAATATTGGGCCATACCCGTAGAGTCATGCTTAGTATTTACTTAGTGCTCCCTCAAGAAAAATGAGCAGACCCAGAGTAAACCCCAAAGCAAACACAGCAGATCTTTATTGATCTGTACAGTATTTAGACTAGTGAATACTGTGTGCCTTATTTATAAATACTTCTGGTCTCCCTTACTGTTTCATATCTCTGCCCGTGCCTCTTTCCTACAGAGCTTAGGAAAGAAACAGCCGCATGAAGTCCATGAATCCAAACAGATGGGTGTAAGCAGAATGTCAGAGGGAGGGACTTTTCCTTCTGGCTTTGGGATTGGTCCCAAGTTGCTTGTACAGCCCAGTTTGGGGGAAGAGGAATTGTGGATTTGTCAGCTCTCCAAAAATGAAGAAACCTTGCCCTGGTCCCAGGCTTCTGTTTCAATGAACTTAATTCTGCTACAGGGAAGAACTTGGCAGATATGGGGCCAGACCCTGTGTTCTTAGTACACCCAGCCCTCGACATAAATCGTCCTGTCAGGTCAGGCCTGTGTGTGTTTGCTTTTCCTTTGTTTGTTTTATCTTTCTAAAATTCTGCTCCATGGCTCAATTAAACACACATGCCAGCTGGTCCCTGTTCAGAGGCAAACGAAAGGAGAGTCCTTAAAACAACTAGTCATTCAACCATTTTATGCCTTTCGCATTTATATGAAGGCCCAAAATTTCAAATGCAGCTACTAGTTGTGAACATTGTTCCCTTTAAGCTGGGTGTTTGTGCAGCCACCCAGGAAAGAGTCAACTGCTGCCCAGCTGATTAGCAGAGTACCCACAGCTGGGTGTTTTGTATCTGTGGATGGTGCACATTTTCACCTGCCTTAGTGCACATAGAAAAAAAGTATTCCGCACGTGGATGGAAACGATTAGAGGGAACATTAGTTGTGAGTTCCAGGAGCTCATTTTAACATCACAGGCCACAGTTCCAGTCAATGGGAGCTGCAAGTGATTTGTACCTCTCAATATCCTAAAAAGGGCCCTGACGGTGGGCACCCAGAATGGTGCAGCAGGTTCCCAAAGCCCAAGGTGTTTTCCTCCATATGCAGCCAGGAAGGCAGCCAGGTCCTCCTGCTATGTAAAGCTACGGGGAGAAAGGGCAGGGTTTCCCTGCAGGACCAATGGGGGGATGGACCTCTGCACTAGCTAGGCTTGCCAGGTGTCCGATATTGACCCAGACAGTTCGGTATTTTCACCTCCTGTCCAGGAAAATTGTTTTCAGAAAATACCAGACACCTAAAATGGCTGGTACTTTCTGATTCTTTTCCTGGCCAGGATGCGAACCTAGTGCTTACCGGGTTCCTCAGGGGAGCTTGCGAAGCTAGTGCTTACCGGGTTTCTCAGGGGAGCTGTCCAGCCCGGTGCAGGGAGGCAAGATGACAGGCGGCCTGATAGGGCCAAAAAGCCTCATCACATGTTTCTTAAAGGAGCCACGCTGGGGTTGGGTGGTTTGGTTTTTTTTGGTTTAAACTCTCAGGGTCCTTTTTTCTGGTATTTTTTCTGAAACTGTCAGACAACCCTAGAGCTGCATGCCGCCTGGGCTCTAATCCTCATGCCTTCTCTGCCAACAGTAGGGCTATGTCTACTGTCAAGTAGGTGTAACGGCCTTGCGCAAGAGGGTTTTTCTTGTGCAAGAAGGGGCAGTGTAGACGCTCCTTCTTGCGCAAGAGCCTCTTCTGAAAAAAAATGGTGGCTCATTAGGTATGCAAATGAGGCTCCGCGATAGTCCATGCTTAGCCTCATTTGCATATTACTCGCGCAAGAAGCCGCGAGTGTAGACATAGCCTAGCTGGTGGTGGGTAATGTAGGCGAGGGAAGGGTTTTCCCAAAACTGCCTACGCTCCCCAGCTGCCAAGCTGTGCTGGCCCTCTAGGTGGCCACGAAGCATGGAGCTGGGGTTGGGCTGGGCTTGGCTGAAGGGGTGGGGCTGGGACGTGCCTTCCCCAGCTGGGGCCTTTGCCCGCCACCCATGGGTGGTACAGTACAAACCAGAGCCATGGGGAAGTGAACCGGGCCCCGGTGGGAGCTACAGCCGGCTGGTCGTGTCTGGGTGGAAAACAGCGACTGGGGGGAGGCGAAAGGTTCCACGGGATCGTGTCACCCGTGACCGTGGTGCATTTGGCGGTTCCAGCAGGCAACAGCCTCCATTTGCCCGTTCCAGGGGTGCCCAAGCGATCAGCTTTGGCTGGTGCTGGGTTACAAATCACGCCAGTGCTGGGTGCAGGGGCCGGGAAACGCTCTTAGCAATGCTGGTCTCTTCACCGTATGACGAAAGGGAAGCAGAACTGTGCTAGGGGGAGGCTGTTTGGATTTTTTTCTTGGGGGGCTGACAGAATTGCCGGGGCCTTAAGCAAGGTGAGGGGCGTGGCCTTGGGAAGAAGGGGCGTGGCCTTGGGAAGAAGGGGTGGGGCCTTGGGAAGAAGGGGCGGGGCTGGGCAGCCAGCCCTCAGCACTGCCCAATTGCGCCTGAGGGGGCTTTAGTGGCAATTTAAAGGGCCTAAGGCGCCAACCACGGCTCCTGGCACGTTAGGAGCGGTGACTGGGAGTCCCAGGCCCTTTAGAATTGCCAGCCCCTGGGGCAGGTGCTTCCTTTACCCCCGTCCTGTCAGCAGGCCTGCTGGCGCTCAGCGACTTTTCATTTTGATCTTTCATTGCCCATCAGGCAGTGTAAACCCAAACCAGTTTCAAACCCCAAGGATACGTTCTGATGGAGCCCCGAAGGCAGGGTTTTCCCTCCGTGCGTGCGCGCACAGGAAACGTCGAGGTTTTTTTGTTTTCACTCCGGATTGGAAGACCTGGCAAACTAGTGCAATTCTGCCTCAGGCGACAAACCCGCTGCCTGCCCAGCGGCACCGAGCCCGCCTGAAAATGAGCACCCATGTTTCGGGGCCTGATGATGCACTTAGGAGCCTCAGTGCAGATCCCTGGTTTTTATTTTTATTTTTTTAACTGTCCTGGCCTTAGCGGAACTCCTGGATGAGTGGCCTGAATTTTTACAGAGGTGCAGAGAGGCTCACGCTGCAATCGGAGTAACCCCGTTGTCATTTTCCTGGGTGACTTTCAGACCAGCATGTAACTCCTGGCAGGAGACGGCCAAGGGAAACAGACCCTTTGTGTTCCCAGCAGAAAGGAATCTGAAGCGCGTCTGCTCGGTGTTTGCTCACGCCGTGAGTCAGACTTCCCAAGCTCCGCTCCTTGTGCAGGGACCCTGTCTCAGGAAGCACCAATGCTACAGCCTCCAGCTGTGAGAAGGGAGGGTGGTTTGAAGGAGGGGAGGAAAAGAAACAGCTCGACGCTCTGCCGCCTGTTCCCGTCTCAAGTTCCCTGGCCAGCGGTGGAGTGGGCAGGGAGTGGGGAGCAGCCACGGCAAGCGGGTGATTCTTCCCCTGCTGGGAGCGAGGATGGGACGGTTTTGCAGCCGGCTGAGTCCAGGAATTCCCAGTAGGTTGATTTTCTTTTCCTAAGCTTTGGCCTGAACGTGCTGCGGATTCCTCTGCCATGACAAGGAGCCGGCTCCGCTCACACATCTCCTGCCTGCTGGCTTTAGTTTACTGCTTTCTCTCTCACGCTTTGGGCTGTCTGCATGTGTAAGCGGGGGAATGGCCCCGCTATTGTGGGGAACTTTCCTGAGTTCTATACCACCCCGGTGAAATGGACCAGCAAAAGGATCTGAGTCCCTGCTCCCACTTCCTTTACCCCACGGCCTCCCTGATCCTGAGGGCTCCCCTTCTACTCTCCTGAGTAGCAGAGTCCTCGAAACCCCAACAAGGCTGGGCCCAGGTTTCCTGGGGCTTAATCCCCGACCTTGTAGTCACTTGGAGCAGGGGATAGGGTGTCCCCACTCCGGGGTGCTCTCTTCACACTGCATGCTTTCTTGGCCCAGTGATCATTTCATACAGTTCAAAGCAAATACAATTTATTAAGCATCAACTGATTAGAGAGAAAAAAATAAGAAAAACTGAGAGAGGTTAAATGAGAGCACACAGCCCCGCTCTGTAGCACGGGGACATCACAAACAGCCGTCTGCAGAGTGTAAGGACAGTTCACAAACTCTTCCTTATAGGCCCCTTAGAGGCGCTGGATGTGCTGCAGGGGGGCTGCAGGTTGGACACGCTTGTTCTGGCAGTGACCACACAGCCTCAGGCTCTAAGCGGCCAGACCCCTCTCCCAGTCTGGCCTGCTGGGCCTCTTGGCTGGTGATATCTCCCGGCCCAGAGCCTCTCCCCCCACTTTGCTGGTCCCAGTTGCTCACCACACCCAGCTGCTTTGCCAGTCTCCAGCTCCTTGCATTGCTTCTCTGTCCCCTTTGGCTCTGAGCACTGCCAGTCTGCTGTTCAACACAGGGTCTGTGCTCCTTGGGCTGTGTGTGTCTGGCTCTGTTGCTGCAAAACTGTCCCTCAGCACAGCTTGCACTCATTGGGCTGTGTGCGCCTGGCTCTGTTGCTGCAGGAAAGCCTCTCCACAGGACATCCTCTTAGCTGTCTCAGCTCTCTCCTTGCTCAGAGAGACTCAGAAAAATCCCAGCTCACAGGGCGGACAGGGCTTGGCCTCTCACTTTCCTCACTGGCCTGTCCAACCTGTCAATCAGGTCGAGCTGGAGTGTTGGCTGCTTTCCATTGTCTCTGGGGTCTGTCAGTCTCATGGACCCTTCCCCTTTTGATACTGGGAGCTGGCGAACCAAAAACTCCCACTGAGTTTTAGTAAGGGGCTGACAGTCCCCTTACACATGGGAACAGGGGGTCCGATTCGCTGTCGCCCTGGGCTTTCTGGCATCAGTTACACCAGTGCCAAAGCCATGGCAAAATGCAACCGTTCCCATTTTAGAGGCACTTTGCCTGGATGCAACAGTTCCGCCATGCCCAGGGCATGAGAAATGCGGCCCGTTTCTTTGCTGCACAGCGGGTCTTCCAGGGGCACATGGCCTCAGCTCCTATGGCCCTGGGTGGCTCGGGGTCTGAGCTGGTGTTCTCCAAAGCCAACGGAAACACTCCCGTTGTTTGGCGCAGGCCTGGTATTTGTTCCCCACTAGGAATCATGGCAGCCCCTCTCCCAATGACTTCAGAGAGATCTGCAGATTGTGACTTTGCTGATGTCAAAGGACAAAGCAGCAGCAGGGGTGGGAGGGAGCAGTTAATTCTGGACTGTGGCCAAACAGGGCGAGAGGCCGACTGAAAACACCCGCACTCTGCAGAATCTCCTGTTAATGGAAGAGTCCTGGGAGGAGGCCCCGCAGTCTTGTAAGGGTAGATTTCCAGGCCTAGATATGACAAAAGTTGCATCTGGAAGCATTTAGCTTTCAAAGGTCTTGCCATTGGCTGGTAACAGCCTGTTGGGTTTGAAATGCTTCCCTTCCTATTTAACCGGTTAAGCTATGACACGGGATTTTACATCCCTCATCTGGAGAGGTGCACGTTGAAGTCCAGGGCCCACTGGGTTCCTGTCAGGAGCTCATGCTGCTGGAAGGTGCCGAGGCATACGGGCCGGTAACTGTGACTTGCCCTAACGTTCTTTTTTCTCCTGTCATGACATTTTTTCCTTGTGGGGCTCGGCCTTCACTTTGCAGCTGTATGCAGTAATGGCTGTGAATGCTAGAAACTGTCATCCTGAAAGAATCCAGAGCTCAGACCTCGTGCAACATGTTACAGTAGGCATAGAACTGCCTTGCTGGTTTTTCTGACCCTCCTGGGAAAGACCTATGGAATGTACTAGAGAATAGTACCCTTTGCAGAAGGTTTTTTTGATTAACAATAGTCGTTTTTACATAGCATTTTTCAGCAGGGGAGGTCAAAGCACTGGGCTGTGTCATGATGTATTGTTATCCCCGTTTGCAGGTGGGGAAACTGAGGCATGGGGCAGTGACGTGACTTCCCCAAGTCACCCAGCCTGCTAGTGGCAGACCCCAGCTCTCCTGAGTCCTGATGGAGTGTGTTACCCGCTAGATAACACTGCCTCCTTTTTCAAAGCCATTTGACAGGATTCAAAGACAATTCTGCCTCTGCTGTAGGATTCTTTAGGGTGGCGCCTAGAATCCCGATTCCATGCTACAGCAGGTGAGAGCTGATTCTGTGTAGACCCTGTTACATTTCTGTAGGACCTGACTGGTTACATGCCGGGTACAGGAAGTTTAATCAGCAGATGTTGTTTTGGGAAGGACCCGCGGTGACTTTTCAGCGATGACCTAGGGACCTGATCCATTGGGTTTCATGGACTTGGACTCCACCATGAGTGGCGGGCATTTAAAAGAGGAGTGTGGTGCTTCTGTGCTGAACAGGGCACTGCACAAGGGAGTGACTTACGCAGGGAGATAAAGCAGGGGGTTACAAAGCATTTCATTCATCTCTAGGTCACTCGTTTCAACCTGGCTCGTGCTGGCAGTCACTGAAGGCCGCCTGCAGCTGAAGGCTGTTCTTTGACTACTATTGAGGGAGATGATGGACCCGCTATTCAGTCCCTGGCAGATAAGGGGCTGTCTTCTAAATCCTCTGGCTCCCCAGGGTAGGTCTTGGGAATCAAGGCTCCTGTGACCTATGACAGCAGGAGAAACCGCTGCCTAGCCATCCACTCTAACCTCCTGGGACAGCCCCACAGAACTGAATAGAAGCCTTTTCCAGAAGGCTTTGTACTGATCAGGCAAGTTTTTATATAGCCCTTTTCACCAGTAGCTCCCGGAGCACTTTGCGGCGGCGCTAAGAATCATTATCCCAGTCTACAGATGGGGAAACTGAGGAACGGGGAGGTGAAGTGAGCAAAAGAAAAGCAGAAGCTGTGGATGCTGGGGTGTGTGTGTGGGGGGGGCTATTGATGTCGTGTTTAGTGTAGGGAGCACTTCCACGGTTCGTTTCCATTGTCTCCCCTCCCACTCGGACTGAGCTGAGACGACCCTCATCCCGAGGGAGGAGCCATGCCGGTCAGGGCTGAGACACCCAGGATGAAAATTGCATGGCTATCTCCGGTCCTGTACATGCTCTCCATGCCCCAGGGCCATCAGTCAGGCATCTCCCCCCAGCAGGGCCGGCCTCCGGAGTTGCAATATTATGAAACTAGTGCCCCTGTGCCTGACGGCAGCTGGGGAGGGAGAGGGGTTTTTAGAGATGTGATTTATCATCTTCAGCTCTGTGTTAATGAAACATTTTAAAGCACATTTCAAACTCCAAGCCGGAGGACTAACACGCCCCTTCAGAAAGAGGTAGTACCTCCCTGGGGTTGGTAAATGCCGGTTAAATGGCTTCCTTCCCCACTAGGGCGGCTCTTTCCCAGGTTCGATGTTCTGCTCAGAGCTCTGGCCAGCGTTGTCACTTTTACGTTCACAGGATCCTCTCCGGAGGAAGCGGAGCCCCAGGAAAAGGAGGGCGGGTGGAGATTCACTGTCACTTTTACGTTAACAGAATCCTCTCCGGAGGAAGCAGAGCCCCAGGAAAAGGAGGGCGGGTGGAGATTCAAACCCAGTTGGTGCCCAAATTTCCAGGTGCCCTACTCTGCTGCGTATTTTGCATATGGGTGAGGCCTTGCTGCCCTGTGCTATGAATTCAGTGTAAGGGGGGAATTAAAGTGGTCTGAGTGTGCTTGAAGAACCAAATCATCATTAGACGGGTGCCCCCAGGACGCCTGTGGCCCATGAGCATTAGGGCCAGCATCTGGCTTTTGCATCCTGTCCAGAGAGAGGAGTCACCAGAAATGACTCTGTGGGCTTCCTACATCTTGCGGCGCATTTCCCTGCGTCATTTTCACATTGTCTGAGCTCCAGGTCCTTTAGTCATCTCTCCCAGTGACTTAGCAAGGAGAGATCTTAGGGATTTCCTGAGAGGTAACCGGCATTCTTTCCATGCGTAGGCATTTCCCCTCCTCCAGACAAGCCCCAGTGAGTAACTCTCTCCTCCCTGGCTATTGGCTCCTGAAAGCGCTGAAACAGTCTTTCTGGAACGCTCCGGCGGTGCAAAAATCCAGCTCTTATGTCCCATATTAGCTTCATGCCATATCGAGAGAGCAGGCAGCCGGATCATTGCTCTGCTGCCACGGCAACGGGCCAGGAGCCTGAGGCCTGCATGCGGCCTCTGTGAAGTAGAGCCAGATGGTGGCTGTCCTTTTAAAGGGGTAGGGGCTGCCCATGGAGAGCTCAGGTCCGGCCTTGCAATGTTCAGTCTGGATCGGAGCAGCGCTCGAAAGGGGTGTGGTGAGAGGCCTCAGAGGGGTGGCTGTGTTAGTCTGTAACTTTAAAAAGAATGCGTCGTCCTGTGGCACCTCTAGGGTGCGTCTACACTGCACCATGGTTCAAAATAAGAGACGCAATTTGAGCCATGCAAATTGCGTATCTAATTTCGATCTTATTTCAAAATAGCTTCTGTCGTAATTCGGCACTGTCTGCACGGCACCAAATTTCAAAATAACCCGCTCTTCTGGAACGTCCCTTACTCCTCACAGAACGAGATTTACAGGGATGTCGG